CCTCTCTCGCTGGACACAGACACTTTCCCATCGCTACCCCAGTGCTGGTGAGAATGATGCAAATCTCCAGCCCCAGGACAAACCCAATCCCCACCCTTATACGAATCAATCCCAGTTAACACTCCTTTGCCCCCTTCGCAGGCTCAGACAATCTGACCCAACCTGCGTGTCTTTGCACATGTTACTGCAGTCTGCTGAGAAACAGAAATTGAAAGCCAAGACCTCGCAAGAAGCAAGAGCTGATAGTTAAGCTGGACAGACTAGCGCCATTCATTCATGTTTCATGGGGTTGCACATGTAAATGTGGCATGTTTGTGACGAGATGTAATTGTAACTGTTACTTTGAAATACACATTTTGTATTTTATTGATGATTTTTTAAAAATCGATAAAATCCAATTTAAATTAAAAAATCTGATTTTTTTTTTTTTTTTTTTTTTTATCCACCCTGGAAATAATCCAAAGTAATAACACCATTTAACATCATGTCTTGTTGTATTTTGTCCTAGCGACAATCAATGAATCACTGACACTGACTTTCTTTTTATGAAGAGTCCCCTGTCCAAGGAAGAATGTTGAAGGGGGTCAAAATAGGGCTCGGGATCACTTTTGTCTTTCTCCTGGTCCTTGTCTATAAACGTTCCCGGCTGCTTGGCTGCCTCTACTCATGCGAGCAGAGTCATGAGCCATTGCCGATGCAAGAGGATGACGTGAGCCAGAGCAGCGGCATCATCTTTGTGGAGACCACAGACCGTCTTGAGCCTCCTCCGTTGGTTTCATGTTCTATAGAATCTGCTGCCAAGGCCTATCCGAACAGACCAGTTCGTTTCTTCATGAAAGGGCTGAAAAATAACACCACGGTAGATTCAGTTTCCACTTCCACAGCCTTCGCTCTTCTGTCTGCCATGGAGAATGTCTTCCTTCTTCCTCTCGACATGGAAACTGTTTTCCAGGATACACCTCTGCTCCCATGGTATCATAAGGTGAGAGGAAATATTAAGGGGGAAATATATTTTTTAAACAAGGTAGAAGTGGAGGTAAATGAAGAGTTTACACACTTACTCAAGTTTTGAAGCTGTTGTCATTGTGCTACACCGAGTGTGGACCCCTTTTTCCATGAGACTTAGCCATGCATTAGTCAAAATATCAATTGAAATTGTTATGGACATTGCACAGTTCCTGAAGGCAGGAGTTAGGGCAAATGGATCATTCCCATCACAGTGCTGACAATCCTATTTTCTCCAAATGGTGAACCACACTCTTTTCCAAAAATGCAAGAGGTCGATATAAATTTTGTATTTGAAAAATGTCAGTGAGCATGAATGTAAAGTGAGGATTTATAGTTGGGAAAACGTGACTTAGTGCTTGGTGAAGGTGTCTGACAATCACAGAAATGTCTGGGCACAAGGTTTAGAAGCAAGAGAGAAATTGAGAGGTCAGTTTGGGCAGCGAGTTCCTCTCAGAAGGCTAGTTTTGAGAGTTCACTCCCCTTTGAGTTCTTGTTTTGGACTGTTTGAAAACACCAATAGGTGACACAAATAGGTTTTAGGTGACAAATCTGAGGCGCTGTTCCAGATTGAGGTGTTATTAAAGGAGGTTTTTTGGAACAAACGGTTGAGTTAAACTGTAATAAGACACCAACAGCAGATGGCATTCACCCAAGAATTCTGAAGCAATTCAACTATGAAGTCTCATATTTACTAACTGTAGTGTCAGCCAGGTGGCCATGTTAGTCTGCATTTAAAAAAAAACAAGGAGTCCTGTGGCACCTTAAAGATGCCCAAATTCATTTGGGCATAAGTTTTCATGGGGAAAGACGATGCATCTGACGAAGTGGGTCTTTGCCCACAAAAGCCTATGCCCAAGTCAATTTGTTCGGGTATGTCTATACGGACACCCCAGTTCTAACTAGAGTGGTTAATGTAGGCATTCAAACTTGCAAATGAAGCCCAGAGGAGTTTTAATTCGAACTACCTAGTCTGTGCCGCGTGTAGCTGCGGGCAGGTAGTTTGAACTACGGGGCATTTAAAAATGGCGGCGCCCGGGAACATGCAAATGAAGCCTGGGATATTTAAATCCCAGGCTTCATTTGCAAGTTCGAATGCCTACATTAGCCACTCTAGTTCAAACTACGGTGGAAGTGTAGACATACCCTTAGTATTTAAGGTGCCACGGGACTCATCACTGTACTTTGCAACCTATCCTTTAATTCAACTTCTGAAGGATAGCTAATGTGACACCAATTTTTAGAAAGGGCTCTAGAGATGGTCCTAGCAATTACAGGCTGATAAACCTGACTTCAGTACTCAGCTGTCTGGTGGAAATTATAGTGAAGGACAATATATCCAGCCATGTACATGAACATAATTTATTGGGGACGAGTAAACAGTTTTTCTAAGGGAAAATGCCTCACCAATCTACTAGAATACTTTGGGTGGGCTAACAGTCATGCGAACGAGGAGGATCCAGTGGATATAGTGTACTTAGATTTCCAGAAAGCCTTTGACAAAGTTCCCTCACCAAAAGCTCTTATGCAAAGTTAGCGGCCATGGGATAAAAGGGAAGGTCTTCTCAAGGACTGGTAACTGATTAAAAGGGTGGTAATAGGTAGGAATAAGTGGCCATTTTCAGTGGCCATTTTCAGAAGAGAGAGGTAAATATTGGTGTCCGCCAAAAGTCTGTTCTGGGACCTATTCTATTCAAACAAGTCATAAATGAACTGGAAAATCAGGGCCAACAGTGAGGTGGCAAACTCTGCAGATAATACAACACTGCTCAAGATGGTTAAGCTCCAGGAAAACGGTGAAGAGCTCCAAAAGGTAAAGTAAAATGATGGGGACTAAATTAGCTCTTACCACTCAAGAACGAGATCTTGGGGTTATTGTGGATAGTCCTCTGACGTCTGCAAAATCTGCAGCGGCAGTCAAGAAACAAACAGAATCTTGGGATTCAATTGGAAAGTGATAGATAGAAAGACAGAAAATGCATAAATCCATGCTGTGCCCGCATCCTGAATATGGCAGGTGGTTGCCTCATATCACAATAGATATACTGGAATTGGAAAAACTTCAGAAAAGTGCAACAAAAATGAGAAGGGGTAGGGAACAGATTGTGCATGAGAAGAAATTGGGAATTCTCAGCTTTGGGAGGAGACCACTAAAGGGAGATATCACTGAGGTCAGTAACATTAAGTAACAGTAAGGAAGTGATATTTACTCCTTCTTATTACACCAGAAGAAGGGGTCACCAAACGAAAACAGGCAGCAGATTTAAACCAAAAAAAAAAAGTATTTCTTCACACAGGGCACCGTCAACCTGGATTTTTGGCCAGAGGATGTTATGAAGGCCAGGACTATGACAGAGTTCAAAAAGGAAGTAGATAAAATCATGGAAATTAAGTTCATCAATGGCTATTGGCCCATATGGGCAGGAATAGTGTCCCTACTTTGTCGGCCAGAAGCTTTAAATGGGTGGCAGGAGAGGGATCACTTGACAGTTCAGTGTTCTGTTCACTCCCCGTGGAGCACCTGGCATTAGTCACTCTCTGAAGACAGGATACTGGGCTAGATATGAGTGTTGCCCACTAAGGTCGTTTTTATGTTATTATGATTCAGATTCTCAGTATTTTATATTGGTTGGATGTTTCCAACCATTTGTGCCTTGGACACACTCCTACAATGACACTGAACAAAAGCTACATCTGTTCTTGCGTTTTTCCAGCACTGTCACACCCAAACAAGAAAAAGTCTATTAATTGAGGATGGGATTACAGTTAGGACAGACACAGCTGAGAGTTTTATACAGGACATAGCTAACAGAAGCAGGTATTGAGATGTTTTAAGGTGGTGTCAATTGCATCTGTGTGGTCCTTTTCCAACTCTGCAGGTAAATCCAGCCCAGGAAAGATACTGGCTGCATGTCAGTGCTGACGGTATCAGGCTTGCACTCATCTGGAAAAACGGTGGGATCTACATGGATACTGATGTCATCTCCATCAGGCCTATTTCACTGGAAAACTTCCTTACAGCTGAGGATGTCCGGTTCGCTGGCAATGCAATTTTTGGCTTTTCTCACCATCACAAGTTCATCTGGGATTGCATGGAGGATTTTGTTCAAAACTACAGAGGAGACATTTGGGGCCACCAAGGGCCCAGGTTACTGACAAGGAGGCTCAAGGCGTTGTGCCCTGTAACCAGTTTCCGTAACATGGAAGATATAAACTGTCAGAACATTTCCTACTTACATCCTCAGCGTTACTACCCCATCCCCTGTGGAGAATGGAATCGGTACTTCCAGGTCTGGGAGAAAAGCCCCGACTTCAACAACTCCTTTTCTCTGCATGTGTGGAACTTCATGAACCGGGAACACAAGCGTGTGGTTGCAGGAAGTAACACCTTAATGGAAAATCTCTTCAAAACATACTGTCCTATCACGTACAGGGCCCTTATTCAAGGCCCAGAAGGCAGTGGTCCGTAGGTAACAAAACAAGACTGAATGACGGCATCTAGCAAAACAAGGTGACTCTTCCAGCCCTCATGGTCCTGGTCCTAAAATAAATTGTTCACTACACAGATTTCGTCTGAGTCAGTGACTCAGCCTTTTTTCTGTCTGCAGGTGACTTTGTAGGACAGAACCTCTCAGAATTCACCTCTTCTCCCCAGATTCCCGAGGGCCTAGTGAATTTAGTAGGAAAGCAAGGGTGTAAATACCATTGGGGATGACTTGATAAGTATGTCTTGTCCTTTAGGGAATGTTTCCCATAGCACCTAAGTGATCTAGGAGACTGAGTCCTATTGTGAAAAGTCACGTTGGCTTTGGGTTTCAAAGCTCCATTGAAAATCAGGCCTTTGGTGCCTACAGATGCCCGTAACTGCTTTTGAAAATGACAGTGGTCATCCGTGCTCCCTTGAGGTGCCTTAATGCCTTTCAGAATCGGTCCCTTTACATATGTTTGGAAATTTTACCCAGTCACTTGCTGAGAGTGTCTATAGCACCTTGTGTGATGAGCCTGAGTCTTTGCCCTATTACTGTAATATTGATGTTGTTGAGTAACTGTGAATACAATACAACAGATAGTCTGGTAGCACTTGAAATACTAATGGAAGGTGGAGGTCGAGGTGATTTCAGACCTGGAGGTCGAAGTGGCGGGGGGGCGGGGGGGGGGGGGGGGAGAAGAAGCAGTAGGTTTAAAAATGACAAGGAGAAAGCTGAGCTGGAATGTAACTGTAAAAACGCATGGTCTGTAGCGGGGGGGAGGGGCCTGTCCTGTTCATTCCAGACGAAGAGCCACACTAGCAGTGGAGACAACATGAACAGCCGCCGCACTGGGGGGAAAATAGGTGCTGGTTCTGCATGTTTTTTGCCAACAACTTTTCTCCTGGTCTTCGTGGCCCTGCATTTTGGGGGAGGTGTGTGCTCTACAACTTTGCCCCGGCTCTTCACACTGTGTCCACTGCCATTGTGGCTCACAAAAAAAGCACTGGGAAGGGGTGAGAGGTTCAATCTCTGGGAGGGAATTTGGGTGCGGGAGGAAGTAGAGAAGAGGATGCTGGCTCAGAGAGGGGGCTCCAGGCTGGGAG